CTGTAAGAAGGTCTGTAGTGAAAGGATGGGGTATAAATTTGGTTTCTTCCCTGTGGCTGTTGAGGTGACTCTACTCCCTGTTACCTCTTTACAGGCATCAACATCAACAGAGGGCTCCTGAGCCTGGGGAATGTCATCAGTGCTCTTGGTGAGGAGAACAAAAAGGGTGGCTTTGTCCCCTACAGAGACTCCAAGTTAACCAGGCTGCTGCAAGGTAAGAGACAGCTGATGGTCCTCAACCTACAGCTGCACTGCAACCAGCAAAGCAGCAAAAAAACAACCCCAGCAGTAGCAGAACCACAGCCCAGAGCAGCAGCTGCTGGTGACAGGGGCTCAGTGCCTCTTCCCCTCTGAGCTGCACCTTCCCTGGGCTCAATTTTGGGTTGTAAATGCATCGAGATGGACTCATTCCCTTTGTGATGGGGGAAATGAGACCAATTCAGTGCATTTTTAGTGGGGAGAAGGAAGATAAGCTCTAACTTCTCTATTTATACCCTCATTAGAGCTGCTTCCTGGAGGGTATTGCAGCCAGAGTGCAGCTCAGGCTGCCTGTGCCTGCACTGTGCCCATCAGGTTTGGGTTGTTTTCTTAGCCTCAATCTCTGGTGTCTATTTTTCAGTAGCTGTGATGCTCTTTTAATACATTTTGTCTAAGCCTGGTGATATTAAAAGAAGCACAGACATAATAATGCAGTTTACTGGGATTTTTTTGGGGAGTTCAATAATTTGATCTCTCTTCCTTTGGTTTGGCTCTTCTGTTTTCAGTGTTTGGAAGCAAATAATATAAAGCAACTGGATTATCCAGGGCTGGGTGTGGGGCCCTTTTTGCCCTCATCAAAAGCTTCAAGGGGCCAATGGGTGTTAGTGTAAAAGCAGAGGATCAAGTGCTGTGCAGCCTGATCTGAACAAATGTTCTTAGCCAGTAATTTAAACTGGAGGACAGTCTGAATTGTAGTGTCTGGATATCCAGGGAGGGCTTGGGTGGAAGAAGGGAAGGGAAAACCTGGGAGAAATATGCCAGAGATGACTTAGCAGGAGCTGGGCTGTTGATGGGAAATCATCAGTGCTCAGAGCTGAGATACAACTCTGGGGCTTTGGCTTTCCACAAAAGCTCTTTAGTGGAGTGCTGGCTTGGGGCAGTGACACCCAGCTGCTGCTTGGGCACCTTTT